TTTTTTTTTTTTTTTTTTTTTTTTTTTTTTTTTAACCGGGGATCAAACTTGTGACCTTGTGCTTTCGAGGCAGGCGGTGGCAGCACTGAGCTAAATCCCCAGCCCATCTGATTGGGGTTGTTTGTTTTTGTTTTTGTTGCCTCTACCGTTGGCTTGAGAACTATGAAGCCCACCTGGAACCTGCAATACCCCTGTCCTTATTTCCTGAATAACTCCTCCAGCCCTAACCTATTCCCTGCCCTCCTAGTCTCTGAATAAGTGTGTAGACTTCACCTGTGTTTGTTTTGTTGTTGTTTGTGACAGGGTCTCACTCTGCAGCCCAGGCTGGCTTCAGACTTGCAGTGATCCTCCTGCTTTTGTTTTGTGGTTACCGGAAGTCGAACTCAGGACCTTGTGTTTCAGAGGCAGATAGCAGCCCCACTGAGCTAAATGCCCGACCCAGTCTTCCTGCTTTGGATGAAAGGAGCAAGCCATTAGTCCAGAGAATGACTGAGCAGGTTTGCACTGATTTGCAGGGGTGGCTAAAGTCCCGTCCTTCTGCAGGCCAGGGGCATGGTCTTTCTGTCTTTTTTTCTTTCCTTTTGAGACAGGGTCTCACTAAGTAGTTGAGACTGACCTGGAACTCACTATGTAGCCCAGACTGGTCTGGTACTCACAGCGATCCTCCTGCCTCAGCCTTCCACGAGTGTTGGGATTAAAGGCGTGCGCCACCACACTTGGCTTTTTTTTTGTTTGTTTTTTGAGCATGTGCCATTTTCAACACTCACTAAGCCTTGAGGCAGATGCAGCTGTCGCCCATTTCTCAGATCAGGAAACTGAGGCACTTGTGCGATGCCGAGTGTGTTTGGGATTTAAACCAAGGCTCACTGGCTCCAGAGCTGGGTGGGAGGAAGAGTGAGAGCCGAGTCCTGGAGACCCTGCGGATTGGTGTGAGGTGGGGCCCAGTCCAGTTTGGCTGCCACGACCAGGCAGTGACCTCCTCTAGGGCAGCTCCCCTGGCTTCAGCATGTGGAAGGCTCAGCTTTATGAAAACAAACTGAAGTCCTGCTTCCGAGTCCCCATGGACCCAGGAACTTGTGCCATAACAAAGAGCACAGTGGTGAGGACAGGTCGGCTGGAAGCCGGGCTGCCCACCCTTCCTGCGCCTCCCACCCCTGCACTTTGTGGCCTCACAGGCCCCAGCCCTGCTCCCCCCTCCACCAAACCCTGCTCTGTCTTTAAAATGCATCTTTGAGGGGGTCCCAACCCAGTGTGCAGCGCTTTTAGAAGGAAGTCAGATCCGTTGGCCTGGTTCTGCCCCAGAAGAAAAAAAAAAAAAGAGAAGCAGACTTGAATGTGAGTCCTGTTTGCCTTGGGCCACAAGCCTCCTGCTCCTAGGCTGCTGCTGTGGTGAACTTGAACTGGAGCCTTTGCATCCACCCCAGCCTTGCTGGAGGTTCTCTGAGATGATGCACAGGAACACTGTCTGGGTGTGAGGGCCGCTCTGCCGGCTGCTTGTCACCCAGAGGGTGCAGCCCTGACACAGACAGGTCAGCGTGCTCACGGAACATGGGACGGGTGCTCCTGACAGCCAGACAGCATCCAGCTGTTCCGAACTGTAGCCTCTTGGCCTCTCTACACCCAGGAGCTGTCCCTTCCCCTGGGGCTCTTGTGTCAGTCTGTGCCCTCCTGATAAGGCAACTCCTAGGGTCTGTTCCCCTGGGGAGCGGGCACTTGGGGCCCCACTGTGGCTCCAGACTCTTGCCTGGCACCTGGCAGCTACTCAGCCTCTTTGGATGGACAGATACCCACAGGAGAATGTGGGGCTGCACCCCTAGGAGAGCCCAGAGAACAGCAAGTTGTGAATGGCCAGTTCAGCCACTGTGGGGCAGATCCATGGTCCCATCACAGGGACACAGAGAGATGCAGCCCTCGCCTCCTGGCCCACGGGACAATCCCACAGCAGGAGAGCAACGGTGCTATGCTGGTGGGGGGCCCTCCTGGCCAGGCCTCGCCTCTGAGCGAGAGCCTTTTCTTTTTTTGGTTTTTTGAGACAGGGTCTCACTATGTAGTTGAGACTGACCTGTAACTATGTAGCCCAAGCTAGTCTTGAACTCACAGTGATCCTCCTGCCTCAGCCTCCCGAGTGCTGGGATTACAGGTGAGCACCACCATGCCCGGTGTGAGAGCCTTTTCTAGAAGAAATTGAAGGAACTCAGCTCCTAAGTGGCACAGAAGGACTCAAACCTATTTTTTTGGCACTGGGGATCGGACTTGGGACCTTGTGCTTGCAAGGCAGGTGGCAGCACCACTGAGCCAAATCCCCAGCCCTAGGACTCAAACCTAACCCTGGATCACCTTGTTTCTGGGAGCTGGCTCTTAACCCAGCGAAGATTCAAGAATCTGGTGACACCCCAGGTCTTTGCATCTTTGACAAAAGATCGCAGACAAGACACGCAGGCCATCCCATAGAGTGCAAGTAGTGTTTATTGCAAAACAGATTTGCAGAGCAAGCAAGAGAGAATGCACCTTCAAACAGGAAGGTGGGCAAGCGCCAAGATGGCAGCGGCACTGAATAAGGTCTCAGGTTGCATTCAGGTAACTGGGTCTTTTAAGGGATATGCTTTCCTTCTTCCCAGGTCTTTGTTCGTTCAGATAAAACAGGCCGTTTACCTAATGCAGAGAAGGAAGTCCCGGTCTACTTTCTAGGCAGATGGCTCTGTTTAGTTGGACACCTTGAGATTTTTCTAACCCCTCACCCAGCCTGGACTTTCCATGGCCCTGGACCTTAGCAGCACTCTTGGGAGGTTTTGTCCTTGTGAGCTGAAGCTTATCCACAGCTAATGATCAAGAAAGTGAAGCAAAGAAAACATCAAGACTTGGCTTTGCAATCAGCCGGCAGCTGCCAGTCTCTAGCCTGCTAATGACAGCTTTCTGCCTAACAACCTGAGAGTCACAGAGAGGACACACGTGTCACGCTGACCTTGGCCTCCTCGGCTATGGCACTGGCAACAAGGCAGGCCCAGTGGGAGCCCCTGCTCCCTCCGGCCATATCGGGTCAACTGGGCAGTTCAGTCCGGGGTTCCCCAGGGACTCATGGGAAAAACTGTCCCAGAAAGGGCAAGCCAGGAACCTACTCAGCCAGGAAATAGAACATGGCTCAGGACGCAGCCCAGTCATGGAATCCCCGAACTTTAATGCTACAGCTCTGAGAAGGCGGCTACAGGCTGTGGCAGGTCCTCTGGAGTCCAGGCCTGGGCCCCCAGGCAGTGAGAAGCACAGGGACCTCACTCCCATGCCAGCTGCTCCCAGAACTTGGGCCGAAGGGCGGGACCAACTGGGGCAGGTCGGGGAGGGGTCATCCCAGCCACACTCAGGAACACCTGGGCCTGAGGCCTACACGGTGCAACTGTGGGGTGGGAGGAGAAAAAAAGAGGTCACGGTTCCAGCATGGGGACCAGTGGGGTGCTCTGGAGGGACAGCAGGCCTCAGAGTGAGGACTGTTGAGTCCATGGGACTGGGAAGCCATGGGGATCCTGGGCCCTCACGCACAGGATTCAGCAGCCCCTGAGATGGGGAGAGGAAGACAATTCCATCTTAGGTCTAGTAAGGAAGGTCAGAGGTATCCCCAGGACCTCCCAGGTACCAGGGCGGTGATGTAGCCTGGGCAGGGCCAGGGCAGGAGGCCAGCTTCAGTACCCTCAGGCGTCTGGACCCCTGGCATCCGGGCCTGAGAAGGGGTCTGCAGGCCGTTCTGTGGACTCAATTGTCTGGTAGGCACTGCGCTCCCGAGAAGGCCCAAGGAAGTCTGGGGGGACACGGGAAGAAATGAAAAATGAGGGGAGAGGACTGGGCACACTGGACCGAGCCCAGACCAGATCCAGCCTCTGCCCACCTGTGCACCCTGATGCCGCGGATGGCGCTGCAGCCCGACACCTAGCTGTTGGCACAAATTACCCTGTACCCCTCGCGGGTCCCTGTGGAGCAGCTGCTTTCACATTCCAGGTGAGGAAAGCAAGGGTTGATGGTATAGAGCACTTGATGACCCTGGGACTCCCAACGCCAGTGCCCCTGCTTCTCAGATAGCCTGAGCTCAGGAATGGGACTGCGTGCCCAGGATTCTCCTCGGCTCCCTCCCAGGCATGAGGACACCATATTCCTGTATCCTGAAAGCTCCTGAGCGGGGGCTGAGGTGCCAGGCAGGGGCAGTAGGGCTCCGCGAGCCTCGCTCCTGTCATCCACTCTGCACACCTGTGCGGGGGACCCCGAACAAGGCCTAAGGGCTGCGGGCCTCAGTTTCCTCATGTGTCTGATGGGCGGACTGTTACTGGTTCCCCTCAGCCCAGGACAAGTCTGGGAGTGCTGAGAACAGCTAGGGTGGGTGGTGGCTGCAGGTTGCTCCTGCCCTCGCCCTGTGCTCCCCTAGGCTGGTTACAGCCCACCCTAGGCCTGTCTCCCTAGAAGTGAAAGGCAGATGTCCCCATCCGCCTCCTCAAATGCTGAGAGGGTGAGAGAGGCAGTGTCCAGGAGGGCAGGGGCGAGAGCGGGGAGCCTCTGAGGGCCTCACCAGAGTGGAAGTGGGGCTCACCCCCGCGCTCACGGTACATGTGGTGCACCAGGCAGCAGGAGAAGGGCTTGAGCAGCAGGCTGAGGACGGCCATGCCGGCGCTGAAGCGAGCCGTGTCCGACATGCTGCTCCGTGGGTAGAAGACGCTGATGTGGATGATATCCAGCAAGATGGTGGCCAGCAGGCCCCCCAGAAACTACAAGACACAGCGCCACAAGTTTATGAGCACCATCACCCCGCCGTGCTCCTGGGGACCCTTCATCTCATGCCCTACCGCACGCATCCTCAGGCTTCACTGGCAGGACAGTCAAGCCAGCAGGCAGAGCCTGGGAAAGTCGCCTGCCTCCTGTCACCCTGGGGCCTAAGACTTGGTCCCGGAACCAACAAGCGCTAAGGTCCTGTGGTTTGTCCAATGTGTCTCCACGGGGAGGAAAACCCCTCCTCCATCCCCAGAGGCAGCAACTTCCCAGCAGGAAGAGCTCGAGCTGGACAGGCCCAAGGCAGTGTCAACTCCGACTTCATGAAGCAGTGGCATCTCCGGTCACACCTCTCCCCTAAAGACAGCTCCTGGAGTGGGTCAGACTGGCTTGGGGAAGACAATAGTTTGGGGTTCTCTAGGCCAGGGTCCCAGGCCACCAGAAACACACATGGGCTGCCATTAAAACTCCAGAAGACAGAAAGTGGGGGCCCAGGAGAGGGGAGAAGATGGGGACAGCGGGACCACAGCTCACTCCCAGCCCGCTCCCTGGCTGCTGCCCACCCGCGCCCGCTCCTGGCTCACCATGCTTATTGCGTCCACGGAGTCCGGCTGTGCCACGGCCCACACGCCCAAGGCCAGGACGGTGAAGTTGGCCCAGGAGTAGGGGCCCCCAAACACGATGCTGCCCCTGCAGGAAGAGGCACCACTGTCTGCGAGGCGGCTACCACCCTGGGGGTCCCCTCTCTCCACTCCAGGTCTCAGGCCTCCTCTGAGAACAGATCACAGTCTGTGAGGCCACCAGGCAGCGGGCAGAGGCCAGCAAATCCCACAGCTCCGCTTTCCACCGGCATTCCCACTCTGAACACCTCTCATTCCTCCTGCCAGAGACAGAGGTGGCCACAGCCACTGCATACGGGTCTCCGGGCTGCAGCTCCTGCCCCCTACAGGCTGCTCCCGGGATAGCAGACGGTGTGTCAGCCGGTGCCATCTGGAATAAACTACGCTCTCCGGGACATCCGCCCAATACAACCCCACCCTGCTTACCTGCCAGTCACTGCCCTGTGTGCGCTCCGCCTAGAACACTTGGCCTTTGGTCCCCTTAGCCCAGGCTCAAATGTTAATTTCTCTCCTGCGCTGGGTTACGTATCACTTCCCTGACGCAAAGACACACAGCTGCTAGGCCAGGCTGGGATTCCAACAGTCTGGCTCCAGAGGCCATGCATTTCGTCTTTTCTTTTTTTCCTTCTTACAACGGTGAGACAGAACCCAGGGCCCCATGCATGCTAGGCAAGCGCTGTACCCCTGGCCCTGAGGCCATGCTCCTGCTCACTGGCTCCTCCACCTGCTCTGGAGAACAGGCCGTCAGTTCCTTGGGCTACCTTATTTTCCCGCTGTGTGCGCTTTGCTTCACAGGTGTGAATGACAGTCACAAAGTGTACCAGGCAGAAGACTGCAAGAGCAGGTAACTATACAGTGCAATTAGCCCGTCATCTTTGACTAAATCCACTCATCTTTTGATTTTAAGAAAACAGGTGTCTGTGCCCCGCCCAGACTCATCTGGGGGCTGGGACTGAGAAATCTGCCTTTTGATTCTGTTCCCACTGCTCTCCTTACTCACAGCTGTTACAAGTCCACTGAGCTTTGCAGAAGGCGCACATGAATGAGCCAGTGGTTTCCAGTCGCGGTGTGGCAGAGAATTCTCCCCAGAAGTGCCACAGACACGGCGGAAGGTGGAAGTAGGGGCTGAGTGGCACTCCGGCAGCCCCAGGGGGCCAGCTAGCACCTCCGAGCCTCTCCTTCCCGATCCTGGGATTCACTGTTCTGACCCACTGTGCAGGTGAAACCAGCCCCAGCAGGCAGAGGGCCTGGCCCAGCGTTGCCTGGATAGAACCCAGAGAGCAGCACTGTCCGGCGGACACAGACCAGGAGAGGCCCTGAGACAGCGCAGAGCCAGGGGTGTGCGGCGCCTGCAGCCTGCAGCCAATCACTCACCAGGTTGTCAGCAGCCAGTGAGCCAGGAGAATCACCTGTGACACAGGGACAGGTCTGTCAGTGTGATGACCACAGGGACAGAATGCTGCAGAGCCTGACAATATGGCGGGGGGGGGGTGTCTCTGAGCCTCTGAGAAACCAAGGGCCTGCAGTGATGGTGGAGGGGGAGACACGGCCAGATGGGGGCGCCACTTTCCCTCCCCACCAGCTTCCAAGGTCCTTCGGGGGGCTGCTCTGGAATCCCTGGGAAATGTGGGGTGGGGGACCCTCAGGCCAAGAGAAATTTCTTGGGAAGATGGAGCTGGGATGTTGAGGGTGGTGGAAGGCACGGTGGCCAGGGAGGAAGCAAGAGGTCAGAGGAGAGCAGGGAGCCCCTGCCCCCAGGGCCTGGATTTCATCACAGCCCAGGGCAGCCCACTTTCTGGTCCCCCTCTGTCTCAGACAGAAGCTGTCTTTCCCTCAATAAATTCCTCCTACTCTTAACCTCCACTGTTCCTGGAATTCATTCTTCAATTTTAGAGAACATAATCTCATGTATTGGTCATCTAGCAGTTTGGGAGTTAATAGTTCCCTTATTTGGGTTATTTTTGCTTGTTTGGATACCATTTGTTTTTTTGTTTGTTTTTTTTGGATACCATTTTTTGATTACTTGATGCCCTGTATCATTTTGCAGTGTTTTTGTTTGTTTGTTTTTTTGTACCGGGGATTGAACTCGGGACCTTGTGCTTGCAAGGCAGGCGGCTGAACTGCTGAGCTAAATCCCCAGCCCTGCCCTATATCATTTTGGAAGTCTTCCCACCAAGATACTTGGGAGGAATTTTCCACAGTTTGGTTCAAGACCCTTCCTTCCCTCCTCTGTGGCTGCTGGATTTCAGGACAAAGCTTCTAAAATGTTTGAGGAGACTAAAGGAGAAAGATAGCCGGGCTAAGAGGACATCCCATCTTTTGGCCTTGAACCTCCAAGGTCAACAAAGATCCAGGACATGAGGGAAACTTTTCTTTCTTACTTTTTTTTTTTTTGACAGGGTCTCACTATGTAGTTCAGACTGCCCTGGAACTCACTGTGTATCCCAGGCTGGTCTCAAACTCACAGTGATCCTCCTGCCTCAGCCTCCCGAGTGCTGGGATTACAGGCGTGCACCACCATGCCTAGCAGGGACTTTTTTTCTTCTTTTTCTTTTCTTTCTTTCTTTCTTTCTTTTTTTTTTTTTTTTAATGAGGGAACCTTTTTTTATAGAATCCTACATTTTTGAGGCCGCCCAACTCCAAGGAGTCATACAGATGGAACAAATGACAAATGTGCTAGGTTTCTTTTACCGGGATCCACCAGACCAACCCTGTACAAAGTTAACTGCTAAACTACAGTATGACTTCTATCTGGGGCCCACTGAATTAGCTCTGTGGAGAGGGCCCCTAACCACGGTCTTCCCCACATTGACCCTTCTCAGCTCTATGCACGTAGATGATAAAAACCACCCCCTTTCTCCCCTAACTTCAGTTAGGGATCCTTCTTCAGAGAGGGCAATGTGGCAGATAGCTAAAATAGAGATTATCATAAGGCAGTTAAGACGAAGCTGGGCCCTCAGCAAAGAAAGACAATCAAGATACATTCACTGGTTAACATTATAAAAGGGGAAAATACAGCACCCACTTACTTCCCCTGGGGATAAGTAGCAGTGATTGATATTCTAAGTAGACATCAATCTCTCTAGCCCTTGTCCCTTCCGGAAATTCCTTGTGCCTGACGTGTTTCCCCATCTGATCCCTGTTTAATCAGTATTACCTGGGTGACTGCTTGTAATCTTATTGATCATGGTTTTGTCCCACTTCATGCCCACCTTGTAATTTCCCACTGGGTTTTACAGTTTGGTCTCTTTGTACTCAGCCCAGTTTGTGGCTATGCCCCATAAACACCTTCGAAAAGTGGGGTAGGTGGCTAACCCACTTTCCGGTCCCCCTTCTGTCTCTTAGACAGAAGCTTTCTTTATCCCTAGAAAATGTTCCTACTCTTAAAATTGAAAAGAAAATTGCAGCCCCCTTTGCGGGCACAGGCCTCCCTCCTGGTAACCCCAAGGCAGACAGGAGGGGACTCAATGCAAGGGGTGGTTCGGGGATGAGTGGGGGAGGCAAGGCGGTGGCTTGGGTGGCCATGAGACTGGGAGACCTGGGTGGGGAGAGACGGAGGGGTCAGGCTGGGAGGGCAAGGGTCAACCCCAGCAGGGTTTTACTGGGAAGGGCGGGGAACCATCACCACCTGTGACACAAGACTCTGGCCGAGAGAAAAGCATTTTCCAAAGTTATACTTTCCAGTGCCAGGCCCTGAGGATAGCTGGGTCTCCTAACAGCCCCGGGGAACACATACCCTTACTCCCCTTTTACAGATGAGAGTCAGTAAACGATCCACAGTCCACAGGCAGTGAGTGGCCAAACTGCAGTTCAAAATCAAATACACCTGTGCGGTTCACCTTTGCCCAGGGGGGATGGCGGGTAGGGGTGCTTTGGCCTCTGAGAAATGCTGGTTAGGGATTGGGGCCCTTCCCAGCTGCTCACTGAAAGGGTGACTCGCATTTTCTCCTTGACAGCCAGCAATTTAAAACCTGGTTTTGCTATAAATTATGACTTCAGTTGGGCCTACAGATGCCCAACGGGTAACTAAAAGCATATCGAAGCATATCCTTCATTTTGTATCCTTATTAGTGCAAAGCTTGGGTAAATAAGATAATGACTCAGGAAGTGTCTAAAAGTGGAGGGACACCAAGGTTGACTAGCAGTGAATTTAAAAATCTCAGCCTAGTAGCCGGGCATGGTGGCGCACGTCTGTAATCCCAGCACTCGGGAGGCTGAGGCAGGAGGATCGCTGTGAGTTCAAGACCAGCCTGGGCTACGTAGTGAGTTCCAGAGCAGTCTCAACTACATAGTGAGACCCTGTCTCAAAAAAGAAAAACAAAACACTTTTCAGGGCTGGGCATTTGGCTCAGTGGTTCTGCCACCTGCCTCACAAGGCCCCAAGTTTGATGTCCAGTACCAAACCAAACCAAACCAAACATAAAACACCTTGAGAAGTTGGGTGAGTGGGCAACCCACTTTCTGGTTCCCTTTCTATTTCTTAGACAGAAGCTTCTTTCTCCCAATACATTTTTCCTACTTTTTTTTTTTTTTTTTGGTACCAGGGATCGAACTTGGGGCTTTGTGCTTCCAAGGCACGCAGAGGAACCACTGAGCTAAATCCCTGGCCCTGGGCCCTACCACTTTAATTTGTAATGGTAGTATCCTCTTTTGAAATTGGCAAAACACTGAAGAATCTTCTGAGCATGAAGAGAAAAGAGACAGGCAAGTAAGACTTCTAGGAAAAACAGATTAGTATAAGGCTCAGTTTTTTTTTTTTTTTTTTTTTTTGGTACTGGGGATCAAACTTGGGACCTTGTGCTTGCAAGACAGGTGGCAGGACCACTGAGCTAAATCCCCGGCCCCCATTTTTCCTACTCTTAACCTCCATTGCACCTAGAATTCATTTGATTTTAGAGAACAGGAACTCATGCTGAATACTTAGCAGGTGTGGGAATTACATCTCTGGCCCTAAATCAACCTGAGTCCACCATAGACGCAACCAGTCCTTTCCTGGGAATGAGCTCCCCTTCTCAGCCACAAGAATTCCAGAGCATGACACAACACCAGGACTGAGAGAAGGATCAGACCCTATTGGCGGGTGCCCTCTTTCTTATCTTCCCTCTAAGTTTCCAATTAAGTTTTTTAACCCTGTGCATTTGTGCTTTCGTTTTATTTTCCATTATTAGAAAAGCAAGGACCGGGCTGGGGATGTAGCTCAGTGGTGCCGTGCCTGCCTGGCAAGCCCAAAGTCCTGAGTTAGATCCCCGATACCACAAAGAAAGAAAAGCAAGGACCCAAAGCCAGAGACAGCTCCAGAGTCCACAAGTTCTTCCTCCAGATGCAGAAGACTGGGACGAAATTCCAGAAAGCCTGATGTGCCCAGCCTTACCCAGGTTCCAGGGCTCTGCAGGGCAGGTCTGTGAGCCTGGCACCCTCACCTTCAATGTGCTCCACCTTCCCTTATTACTCAGCACCTCCTGTGCAGAGGGCACCACTCCAAGCCTGTCTGTATCCAAACACACGTCACCCTGACAATCCTCTCAGGTACTGTTGGTCCCATTTTACAGCCTCAAAGACTGTGGCTCAGGCCCCGGCAGCTGGTCAGAGGCAAAGCCAGGATTCAAACTCGGGCCTCTGCCCACTGCAAAGATGGGGAAGCTGTGGCAGGGGAGGCTCAGTTTCCCATGAGTTCCTTTCCCTGAGAGTGTAAGAGAAGTGACGAAATGGTGCTGAGTTTTCCCTGCCTTTGTTGTCTTCCCCAGCATCACGGGCACCTGGGCTTTAAGGAGTGTGGACTGCAGCTGCCACCCCAGGTCTGCAGGGTGGACACCCCCAGGACTCTCCCTAGTGCGACTCACTGAGACTTCCATCCTGCTAGAAAAGGAACCTCGCTGTTTCAGAGAGAATAATGGGGGAGTCTCCAAGGAAGTAACAGGCCAAGATGAAGGGGGCGAGCCAGATGCTCACTGGGACAGAGAGGGAAGAATTTGGTACGGAAGGGACAGACGGCGCCTGAAAGGCTCTGTGGGAGATGGGAGAACAGAACATTCTAGAAAGTGTACAGCAGCCTACGTGACTGGAGTGGAACGGAGGAGAGGGGGAGGAGGGAGGGACAGGCAGCTGGAGCAGGACGGGGGGAACCTGGCTTTTATCTTAGAGTCACCACAGCTCCTGGGTCTACAATGGCGGTTCTGGTATCTCACTTTGGACTGTGAGAAGGTGCTGAGGAATCAGGCGGCTCACACACCTCATTCCTGGAAACCCACACCCACCCTTCCTATGTCTGTGACTTCTTAAGAGACGACGTCACTTCCAGCTCTGGCTCCTGTGCCCACGCTAGGTCTGCAGCAGCAGCTGTTTTCTCTCCCTGCAAGAATGGCCAACGCATAGTCATCTGTTTAATTCTGAGATAGCTGATGTTTCCTAAAGATGCAAGAACCCATGAACCACCTGGATACTTGATCTGAACACTGGCCCTGTGGCATCAGGGAGCTGTGTGGGGTAGAACCAAATCACAAACTTCACCACCAGGCTCTCTGCCTGAGTTTTTAGCACACAGAGCAGGCTACCTCTCAGAGCACCAGATCTTCCTTTTATGAGCTGATATCCAGAGAGGTCAAGACACCTACTTATGGTCACACAGCGAATAAGTAACAAAGACTGGCCTCGAACACAGTCTCTCTGGCCCCAAGGCCTGTGCTTTCGCCTCAAGTAGTAGTCAGGATCTGGAAGGGCAAGGGGACAGTGGATGGAAATGAGGAAATGACCCACAGAGAAGGGAGCCAAGGAGAAATCATGGGCCCAAACCGAAACCCGCAGCCAGGGGTGGTGATGCTGTAATCCCAAACTAAGACTACAGATTACAGACCAAGGTTACTGATGTCACCCATATGCTGATGGACCAATATGGCTACACTTGTAATTATACTGATCATAGTTGACCCACATTGTACCCACCCCAGTGATTTTCCTCTATAAAAATTTCTCAGAGAAGTGAGCCTGCTGGCAACTCACTTGAGATCCCTGTTTCTCAGGAGATATTCCTCTTCCCCATTCAATTTTCCTACTTTCTTTTTCTTTTTTTTCCTGAGACAGGGTCTGGCTATGTAGTTCGGGCTGTCCTGGAACTTGTGGCAGTCCTCCTGCCTCAGCCTCTCAAGTACTGGGGTTACAGGTGTGCACCACCACACCCAGCACTTTCCCTACTCTTCAACTTTGTTGTTCCTTAGAATTCATTCTTTTTTTTTTTATGTCAAAGAATATAATTTATTAAAAGTATAGAATAAAATACAATGGACCTAGAATTCATTCTTTAGGGACTGGGGATTTAGCTCAGTGGTTCTGCCACCTGCCTCACAAGCGCAAAGGCCCAAGTTTGATCCCTAGTACCATTAAAAAAAAAAAATTCATTCTTCAACCTTGGTGGTGTGTCTTGCACCTAGCAGGTTAGAAGTTACACCCCCCCCCACAATATCAATGTGACTTTGGGCAAAAGGCCTGCTCTCCTGTAAAGAAAAAACTGGCACTGGCCTCATGGTCGTCCTGTGGATCTAGGGGACAGGCAGGTGGAGAGGTGTGTTACACACTGAATGTCACACCCACCAGGGAGCCAGCCTGCAGGACACCGTGCTCCTCACTTCCCTCGAGCTGTGCAGGCCTCTTCCGACAAGACGTGAACCCAAGCCCAACTCTTCCTGAGCACGGCACAGTGCACTGGTCCAGCCCGGGTCTGGCTGCAAGACAGGCTCACTTAGGGCTTGGCTTCTGTGCAAAGGGCCTGGGGCAACTGGCTGAGCCAGAAGAGGCAGGCACTCAGCCATCACCCAAGGACTGGAAAAGGGGGAATGGGGGTGAGACACAGGCCCTTGGTGCAGGACCCAGCTGCTGCTTAAGTGCCTGTGAGCAAGCACAGCATGGGCAGCTGCCAACCAGTTAATTCTGAATTTCAGAGAGTGAAGCATTCAGTGATGTCCCTGATACTGCCGGAGACATCCTAAAAGCCTGTTGTGGTCCTGAAGTCCAAATTCAACTGATGTCCTACACGTCATCTGGCAACTCTAGCCCCTCAGCCTCCAGCACACAGGTGGCATCTGATGGTGGAGAGCCCTGGGGACATGGGATCTTACAGCTCCTTCATTCTGAGCACAGAAAGCCAACACGGCTCACACCCATGGACACTCTTGGCGGTCAGATCCTCCAAAGCACATAAAACGTCAAGGCTGAGGTCCCCAGGAAATCCCACAGCACTGCCGTCTGATCCCCAAGGATGCTAATCCTGACTCTGCCACTTACTCCTGGGGGACCTCAGTAACATGCCTGCCTGGTCTTCTCTGTAGAGTCGACAAGGTCAGGTTTCTCACAGGGGCTATGATTAAGTGACAGACCGCGCGGGTCTCAGAAGCAGGTGCGCTCTTCCCACCCAGTTTCCATATCTGTCCTCACCTGGTCCTCTTTTGGCATCTATTTTAGTCAAATCTCTAGTGGCAGAAAACACATTATTCCTAAGCCTGAGCTGCCTGAACCAGGTAGTTATTTTTTATTTTTATTTTTTTTCCTTTTGCATTACTGGGGATTGAACCCAGGGCTTCTGCGCTGAGCTACACTCCAGTCCATTTAAAAAAAAAATTTTTTTTTTGTTTTTTTGAGACAGCCTCACTATGTAGCCCAGGCTGGCCTTGAACTCCCAGTGATCTTCCTGCTTGGCCTCAGATTACAAGTGTGTGCCACCCCATCCATCCATCCATTTTTTCTGAGACAGGGTCTTCCTCAATTGGTAACTACCCAGACTGGGCTCAGCCTGGTAATCCTCCTCCCTCAACCTCCCAGAGTGCTGGGATTACAGGCATGTATGCACAACTACCACAGCACCTGGATCAGCCGTCCTTAAACAGACTTTTCCCCAAGCCTATTCTCTGGGTGGGTCATCATTACCCCAGCTGCTGACCCACACCTCAGGAAGTGCTCAAGCAAGTGTGGGATGATTAAGACAGGAAATCTGCCTTGGGCAAGCCATAGCCCAGGCCACGTGTAGTAAGCAGTAAGGGTTAGTCTGCTGCTTCCATTCCCTTCTTGGCACAGCAGGACGCTAAACGCTACATCACACAGGAGGAAAAGGGTAGATAGAATCTTAAAGGAGCCCTCACCAAGACCCAAGACGGCCGGTTTAACCCATGGTTCACACCCTCCCCAACAAAGAGACATCCCCTGCTCCTCGGGTGCTAAAAGAACTGCAAGGCGCTGGACTCAGGAAATGAAGACACCCTAGAAAACCGCAGCGGGGCCAAAGATTGCAGTTGGTGCTTTCTGCTTTTAAGTAACATCTACTGCAGCTCACGCTTCTTCCTAATGAAACATGGACGCTGGAATTGTAAATTCTGCAAGACCAAGTGTTTGGGAACATCTGATTTTCTTAATCCGACTTAGCTCCTAAGGGAGGCCCCGGGCCCTACCAGGGCTCCCGGGAGAGGCCAGGCCTCAGCCGCGGGGAGGGGAGAGGTGCGTGGAAAAGGATCCCGTTCCCGCCTCGAGGGAATCCGGGCGCAGGCCAGCTTGGTCCTGAAGTCCCCTAGCTCCCAAGGGGAGAGGCGGCCCTTTCCCTCCGCTGTCGCCCGAGCCCCCTGCCTGTCCCAAGTCCGCCACGGCCTGTGCACCTCCTCCTCACCTGGGGAGGTTCCCCCCGCCCCCCGATTTTCCAGGCTCTCGGTTCTTCCACCCTCCTTCAAGTAGCAAGTGTCCAGCGCCCACCCCCGACGACACCCGCCCGCCCCGCCACCTTGAGGTTCACGGCCGGAAGCTCCATCCCGACCCCTGCAGAGGGCACCTGCGCGACGGCCGCGGGGACCTCGGGGCACCAAACTTGAGTAACAAACTTGCCCGGCCCCACTTCGCCCGCCCGCTGCGCAGGCTCCAACCCCTGCAGGACTCTGCGCCACGTGACAGGGCAGATCGGGCACGTGACCGCAGCGAGGTTGCTAGGAGACGGCGTCCGGCTGCGCTGGCCTTCTGCGGGCTGCCAGACTTCCTGACCCGGGGGTGACAAGCAAAAGCTCGGCATTCACGTAGCCTGCCAGGCTAATAGTCTAGGAGGTGGGCTGGCGCGACGCCCTGGCCCCCAGAGAAGCTGGTACCCCCTAGGTGTTAACTGCTGCGGTGGCAACACCGTCCCAATGTAAGTAGGTTAGTTAGGTTACCGACCTCCTGGGATGCTGATGAGGATAAATGAATTAATTCTCCTTAAGGAAACTTCTTAAAGCCGAAGGAGGAGGGTTCAAGAATAGAATTGTAAAGCCGGGCGTGGTGGCTCACGCCTTTAATCCTAGCACTGAGGAGGTTGAGGCAGGAGGATCGCTGTGAGTTCGAGACCAGCCTGGGCTACATAGCAAGTTCCAGGGCAGTCTCAACTACATAGTGAGATCCTGTCTCAAACAAAACAAAACAAAACAAAAAACGGGCCTGGGATGTAGCTCAATGATTCCGCTACCTGCCTTGCAAGCACAAGGACCTGAGTTCAATCCCCAGTACCAAAAAAAAAAAAAAAAAAAAAAAGAAAGAAAAAGAAAGAAAAAAGAAAAACCACACACACACAAAGAAGAGAATTATAAACCGGGCCTGGTGGTATACGCCTGTGATCTCACCACTAGGGAGGCTGAGGCAGGAGGGTCACAGATCTTGAAGCCAGTTTGGGCTGCATCAGACCCTGCCTCAAACAATCAAAAGACAACCACTCGCTGAGCCTGTGTGTGGGACCTAAATTACAAGCTCTTGCTAAATGGCAAAGGGCCTAGGAGACAGTGTCCTGAACCCCTCCCATTGTAGCCACAGCCCGACCTTTGTTCCAGCCCCGGCCTAAGAATGTGTATCACTCTTGTATTGTTTGAAGTCCGGATCTGAATCTACTTGTAAATTAGAGACTCCAGACATAGGGCCCCAAGTTAATTGACAAACTGTTTGCTCGTGCGGAGTGTCTTGGTGACCTTTGAGACATCCTATGGGTGGTACCTGTCACTCATCAATATGTGACTGTTGAGCATGTGACTGCTGACCACCAGCTCAAGTCAGCAGACCTTTGTCCCCTGTCTGTGAGCCCAAAAATGTTAACCCCCTCTTTTACTCCCCATAAGAGGACCTCAGCCCCTGAGCTAGGGGCCTCTCTGAGCCAGCCACTTGGTTCTGAGAGTGCCGTCTGGCCAGACTAATAAAAGTCTTTTACCATCTAGCCTGGTGTGTTCCTTCCTGGGTTTCTCGTTCCTCGATAGCGCTTACGGAGCCTCATTGGGCTTTAGGGCCCAACATTGCAAAGGCCTTTTGGGCTGTTTGCGCTCAGTGGAGTGGAAGTGAGACTTTTAAATCTTACATGTGCCTGTAATCCCAGCACTGTGGGAGGATGAGGTGGGATAAGTACAGCACAGTTTGAGCAATTTAGGGATTTGGGAGGCCCTGGCTCAAAATAAAAAAACAAAAACTGCCTGCCTACCTGGAAAGCACAAGGACCTGAGTTCAATCCTGAGTACCAAAAACAGAAACAAGTATGGTCTCTTTGTTAATACTGATCTAATGGAAAACCACAGGGAGGGAATAAGGTGGAACAAAACTATGGTCAACCAATAAGATTACAAATATAATCTCAGGTAATATTGATTAAATAGGGATCCAATGGGGGAAGCAAGTCACGTAGCAAGCGTACAAAAACTGAACAGGATTTTCCTGGAAGAAATGGGCTAGGGAGGCTTTGGTCCCCCATCCAAGGTGATTGTTACCTATTTAGAATATTAATCACTGGTGTTCCTCTTGGGGGAAGTATGTGGGTGTAGTCCTTTCTCCTCATCTGGAAGCCTGGCCTTTAAGGAATGTGCCTCCAGCTACAACTGTAATACCTCCTAATCTTCTGCTTTGACTCTGGAGGGCCCAGCCCTGTCTGACTGCCTAGAATATTTAAAGTAGTTTAGCTGTCTATAAAATTACCATCAGTACATCAGGGGCCAACTGGTTGGAGCCCAGTTAAATCAGCACACCAAGAGTATTAGAAGACTAGAAAAGCAGCAGGAATTCCTCCCTGCACAAACTCTCAGACCCTTTTAGGGAACATCTATCTAGGTGTTCATCGTGGCTTCCAAGGAGGCAGAACTCACTAAAATTCCTGGGCTGGGCTGGGTGGGTCCTGAGATAACAACCTGGCCCACAGCTTCCCCAGGTATTTCTGGATGGAGACGGCAGTTTTTCAGGGTTTCAGGGACTGAAGGCCTAAGGGAAAGCCCTGTTTCCAGGCCCAGCCCTCCAGCCCAGGGTAGCAGACAGTGAGCCACAGCACCCACCACATGGCTACGTCTAGTCTGCTTTAGGATTGGCTCCCATTGCTATTAGAAATCAGTAATCACTGTTTTGTGTACTATTTTTGTTTGACCGATATGTCAAAATTTTAAAATGTATAGTTTAATAGGGTATTGTGACATTTTGATATATATAGAGATCGTGTAATATTTAGTGTGACTGGAAATGGTGGCCCACGCCACCTCCCCCTGCACTCTGGAGCCTGAGGAGGCAGGAAATCACCATGAGTTCAAGGCCAGCCTGGACTACACAGTGAGGTCCTGTTTCAAACAAAATGGGGTACATATTTAGTTTTGTTTTTTGGTATAGTCTTACTATCTAGTACAGGCTAGCCTTGAACTTGTAGTGATCCTCCTGCCTCAGCCTCCTGTGCTGGGATTATATACCATTTTTCAGAGATGGGGTGTAGCTCAGTGGTGGAGCGCTTACCTAGCATGTGTGAGGCCCTGGTTTCCATTCCCAGCACTACAAGAAAAAAAAAAAAAAAAAGCACTCAGAGGGAAAGAA